CTAGCAGATTCATTACACAACCCAACACGGGACAAAGATTGACCTTGACTTTTATTTATAGTTTTAACATATGAAGTCATAACAGATATTGTCGCCTATGAAATTTGAACGGCAAATTGGCATCAGATGACGTCAAGAACAATATAGGAATTAATACTTTTTGTCCAGCACTCACACCAGTGAATCCAGAGGCTGATCATCGCGAAAGACAACACTTTGTTCTTCCGGAAAATGGAAGCTAAAATGTTCAACTGTCGGGGTCTTATATTGAATTTCAAACCCAAATATGCGCCAAGCAGCCTCGCACGCAGAAATGTATCCACAGTCATAGTACATTTGTATCACATCGACTTATCGTGCATCGCACGGTTGGTGATTTCTAACCTAAAAATGTTGCAAGAGTCCCACCTTAGAAGAAATGCGTTGAACGCTCGTGCGATGTACGATTGGTGAAATTCCACAGGTGTAGTTAGTTTTAATCAAATTTATTTTGAAACAAAACTAAACTTGTAATTTTAATTGAATATGACTAAAAAGGTTATACAATATACTATATAAAGTTTTTATAATATGTATCACGCACTATAATGTTGATTGGTTATTATTAACCCAATCACACAAAGTTGAATATGACTTAAAAAGGCATTTTCAACAACAAAACCAATGCGCCACAATGACTGCTAACAATTGAAGTTGTTAATAGGAATGCTTAGGAATCAACAAAGTTTAGCTCGCACTAACTTATGTCAAAATCATTTCTTTTAGTAAAATGTTTTGCTAATAATTCACCTTGCGATGCGCAAATGAATTTGCCATTTTTTTTCATTTTCAAAGGTTTATAAAAATTAATTGAAGGTAAATTATTTATAATGACTAAGTAATAAGGTGACTAAATTTACACGAATTGTATTTTTTAATTTAGACGAATTGTCTCTCTAAATAGGTAAAATAAGGGAGTAAAATATGTGAAAGTGTGTTATGTCATTCTTGAATTATACTTGAATGTAAATTTGTGGGAAAATGTTCAAATAGGTGCTTCTACTATTTCTAATATCCAAGTATGGTCTGGTTTGATTTGTTTAAGTTTGGTTTGGTCTGAAACTGAAATAAGTCTAAGTATATACATCTCAAGTAATATAGTGACAATGCATTTATACGAATTACATTTTTTACACGAATCGCCCTGGTAAATTGGCAACTCAAGGGGGTGTGCAAATATGTGAAAGTGTGTTATGGCATTAATATCAAACAATACTCAAGTATGAATTTGTAAGAAAATGTTAGTTGAGTCCGTATATGAAAAGTAATGCTATCATTTAAGCACAATAACTTTCGAAACACATTCAATAGGTAGAATCTATAGTAGTTCTTAATTAAAAAATAAGTACAACTCGGCAACTCCAAACTCCAGTGCGATGCTCAGTTGGTGATCGAAATTTAAAGGGCGGAGTTTTACTCAAATTAGAAAAAAAAACATACACAATAATCAGGTTTGAAGTAAAATGAAATGAATTCAATACGATTTATGGAGTATCAATGATTGTAGAGTAGCACACAAATGTGTTAGTCTAACAAAATAATAACACTCGATCGATACAAATATAATTTGAAAACAAATTACATTCTATGCTTGACTTTATGAAAAACTTATTTATACATAAAATTCTTGGTTTCACATATCATTCTCATGTCATCGTTTGTGTGCAGTGTCATTTTTTACATGTAGCGGTTGGTTACTCTTGACAAAACCATATAAAGATGACCATGACTAAAAATAGTTTTTTTTCAACAATGAACCAACACGCGACAACGAAACATGCATAAAATTATAATACGCAAATATTATAAGTGTCTTTCCGTTATACATAATATTCCCTTTGTCCTTTAAAACATGTGAAATTGATAGATGTAGAAAATAATATAGTACAATCTGTGTGATTGATGTTTGTGCACAGGAGTGGAAATAACACCAACAAATCAATTGATTAAAAGGCAAAATAACAAAGTTTTTAAAACAGCCCAAAAAGAAAGATGATAAAATTTTAAAGAGCGGAGAGTATCAATTACAACTCATATAACGGAATATTTTTATCGCAACAATACCGAATATTGTAAATAATTAATACGGAGTAACAAATACAGAGTACGTAGTATTACCTCTAAAAAACAAATATAAGATGTTTACTAAACATACGCATTACAAACTAAACTTATTGTCATGTAATAGTTTTTTTAAACATTTCTTTGGTTACAACATTTTCACTCTTGCGCTGAACATGTATCGTCCCTCTAATTTGGTTAGCCAAATAAGAAATCAGTTGTGCCAAACCAAAGCTACATTCAATTACTAAACTTCAATTGTAACACCATTTGGGGAATAAAAAATCTCTAGTGCACATAGGATACTCTTAAATTATATGGGAGTATTAAATGGTCAGTATGGGAATAAGAATACCTTTCATGTAAATGAGATACCACTAAATGATATTAAGTGATGGTATTCCACACTGCATGTCTAAATTTTACCAAAGTAGTACCGTGTAGACAAAAATGTTAAGTATAAACATGGAAGAGCATATGTTCTTAACCCCTAAAAGAGCACATGGAAGAGCATGTGTAGCAGGAACAGACTGGCGTGTGGAAGTCCCTAACCCCTAAAAGAGCTCATGGAGGAGCATGTGTAGCAGGAACAACAGACTTCGTGGAAGTCCCTAAAGCAGAACCCATTCTCGTTGCGCGTAGATATTCTTACTAAGGTGGAGGTAGATTTACTAAATATTCCGTACATCACTAATATTGTCACACGCCTGCCAAAGATAAAAAGTAAAGAGATTAGGGGAAGATATACTTGAGAGCATTTATTCTTATCAGTGTACTGAATAAATTGATTTTCAATGATTTTCATTGCTTTGAATATGTCTCACTTACATATTTATACCCAAACATTCTTTTGACACATAGTAAGCCATAATGTGTATTACTGTATATTTAAAAGTTAAAAGCCAAACTTTATGAGATTTCTAAAGGCTAATAATAAGGATAGTTTCCACTGAGCTGATTGTTGTTTGGAAAAACTTGGATAAGAAGATAATTTTATAAAAAATCTCTGTACATAAAAAAATCAAAACATTTCATCAAAACAATATCTAGAGATTTGGCTTGAGATCAACCTGCCAAACTTATTTTAGATCATAATGTTTGAATTGTCAGGTGCCCTTTTTAATAGAATCCAATATTATGTATTTTAAGTTCAAACTCAACTAAACAATAATCAAAAGATGAATATTCACATAAATGAAAGCTCAAAATAACAAACAAAAGGTTCCCAAGCTCAGATTTTTTCACCAATTTAATGTAATAGAACTTGATTTTCAATAGGTCCGAACTCCTTAAACCCAAAAAAGAGCAATACTGAATGATCTGATTAGGCTGTTAATAAAATCAACGACTGCTTAGTTAAAAATATCCTTCACCCTGATTTCCACTCCAGTATATATTTGGCAGATCTCATAAGCTATTAATTGAAAGTTATTGTTTATTCTTAATCATTTAAAACCAATACAGAATAGTTATATGCAAATAGATATTTCAGGTTCACTTTATCCACAACATTAGAAATACAGGAGTAGTATATAAAGTTAGAAAGATTAGACTTTTCAGTGGCAGTTTATCTATGGCATTAAAAATTGCAAAAGTAATATGTGAAGTTAGATAAATAAAACACTTCAACATAAAACTGAAAGGAAAAATCATTTAAATAACCACACTAATTCATTACTTGAAACACTTGAAAAAATCTTTCAAATTGTACACTATCAGTGCGGCTAGATTATTAAGTTTTCCCTTTCTATTACTGCTTCACAGTTAAGAAATTCAGAAAAATCAATAAAGCATTACCTGTGCATGGTTTCTCAAAGATAAAACTGTAGTCAAAATGTTTACCTGATAACTAAGATGACTTTGTATCTCAATTTTGTATCTCAACATTGAATTTTATTTAGTTATAGTTCGCTCTGAACAAAAATGCTTGGGCAAAAGGATTAGCTTTACTAAATGTATTACAATTTGGACTATGAATATGTAGTTACATAAATGTTATTTTCAGTACACCAAAAGAGTTCAAAATTTGTATTATAAATTATGACATTTAAGATCACCTTGATAAAGAAAACTACGGTAACAATCAAATGGCTGACACTGGAACTAAGAAGCAAACTTACGGTATTTCCTTCTGTAGGGTGCAGGATCTGAATGCTAAAGAGGAGCACCTCTTCCAATGCCATACAATATTAGAAATTATTACTTTAGAAAACAAAAGAAGTGTGCAAACAATTATAACGTCTAATTAGCCTTATCCAACTAAAAATTCTAAACATGAATGATCAATGATGCTTTAGAGAAGTGGCTAATGGCATCATCCCACAGTAGCCTCACCCAGGTCATATGATTTATAACTTACTGATCCTTGGGAACCATTGCATCAGGAGTTGATTACATTCAGCTAACTCTGGAGATGTAAATAAAGCTTTAACATCCATCTACCATTGAAAGAGAAGACAGGTCTCAATTCTAACAAAAAAAAAAAGTAAAGGCCCCCTATTACGAAAAAGGATTGAACACATAACCAACAAAAAACTAATTACACAAAAATTTAACCACGAAAATAGAAGCATAGTTGTCAATTGTTAGGAAATATACATAATCCATAAGGAGAGCAACTTGAATGGGAAAACTTCACATTACAAAGAATCGACTGAGTATATATTTGCCTCAATGTACCGCGGGGGATAAAGCACTCTGCCAACCTTAATTATAAAAACGTTTTTTTTTTGCATTCACGAATCACACTGACCAGAGGTAGAAAAGAGGCAAACTGGAACCTGACATTAGCAGTTTGAGGTAGTGCATAGGATCACGGTTATCCTTGAATAGGTTAGTCCATGTCTGTGGTTTGTCCAGAATCATAGTCATCTCATTTTCCCTTGGAACATCGGCAGCAGGAAACTGTCCAGGAGTTACTGGCATTTCAATACCCAGAAGTACCTCCTTGTCGTTTGAAATATGTCTTGCTGCCCTCAACCTGTTCTGCCAAGCTCCTGGGTTATCAGGTGGTTTATTCAGCGTGACTTGCTTGTTTCCATCAGCAACCGGAACGGTTTCCTTTGCAGCAGGTTTCCCCAACTGTCCAGCCCCTTTCTCTGGCAGAACCTGCACATCAGCTCGCCCTTGCACAACAGAATGAAGGGTAGAAAAATCTTCATCAGTATCTTCCAGTATGGCGAACCTTCATCACTTGAAATGTCTTGCAGAAATTTGTTAGATTTAAATTTGTTTCCCTTTTTTTTTTTTAATTTTTTATTCATTTGTTTCCCAAAACAACATAGGGCCCGCTTCATGTGAAAGCAAGCCACATGCAGTTTCATTACTCTCGGAGTAATCAGTCCTTAGTTCTTTAAAACACAAATTACAATCATTGTTATTCCAAATCCTCTAGTGAAAAAGCTTCAACAACTTGGTTTGGTCTTTTGATACGTACTAACATACACATACATATACTGGGTACAAAACAACTTACTTTTTGTGTGCGTGTGTTTGGGTATATACATATGTGTGTACTGAAATAAACATATTGATGAGACTATGATATTTGGTCACCAGCTAGTTTCTTGAATAGCCAGTTAATTTTAAAATAGCATGAAAAGTTGTTTTTAGAGCTTGAAGGTTACCTGAATCGGCCCAATTCCTTATTGAGCTATGGATGGAAGTATGGAACAATATACTCCGTACCTTGACACCAGAAGCCCCCCCGGCTAAACCCAAAGAAACCTTATTCGGCTTCTTCTTTCTGAAGTACGCAAGCTGCAGAGCCAGATCCCAGATACGCAGAGGCCATTAGTCCGCTACTCACCTCGCCGGCCTCCTCCTCCCGCTCCTTGGAACTACCTTAGCTCGATTTTACTGGCTCCCGCCACTCATCCCGGAAGTAGTACATACCCCGTTCACTGTTGACCACCCACCCATTAGTAGTCACCGCCCTTTTGAACCAATAGAACCTCCATTTTTCCCAATAGGAAACAATCTTGTAAAAATAATAAGTATAGGAGGACCGAACGCATACCGTAAAAATACGTTGCTGAAGGAACTTACTTTGACCGAGTAAATAAGGAACACGTGATGTTGACACTTTTAGGCGGCAAACATATGCCCGGAATTCTTTTTCCTTTTATATAAGGACGAGTCTCTCCAGACCCTCTTCGTCTCTCTCCGAGAATTTAGTCATTTAGAACAATCAGGGGCGAACCCAAAATTTAGATGTGATTCTCAAAACTGATTCTGCTACTTCAGGAAGCAAAAGCAGAAGCTGAAGTGCTTGGGTGAAATTACAGAAGCACTTCTGAAACTCTAATTTACTCTCAGAATCAGTTTTTTTAGAAGTTGGGAGGTACCAGCTTCTGAAAACTGATTCTGATTCTGCTTCTGCTTTTAAAAAAGAAGCGGAAGCAGAATCAGTTCCAAACACCCCCTTAGTCATTGGGGGCCTAAGAAGGAACAAAAAAATAAAGAGAAAAATCTCTAAATAGGATTAAAAGAAAAATAAAGATCATAAATAGGATTATCATTGTTTAATTTTTAAAATAGGACTAATTCACTCCTATTTTCGCAAACTTTTATCAAATTATTTTCACTAGATCTAAATAAGATCTATTTGAGAAGTAAAACTTATTTTGTCATGTTTTTGATCATATATATGTGATTATTTCATGAGGAATGATCGTGTCAAAAGTACCTGACATGATCCACCGCCCGTCTGCCTATGTTTGAGTGCTTTCGCGTGGATATTTTGATGAAATTTTGTGACAATGTACTTCATAATGTGTAGATTATTTACATAAAATTTCAATTTAAAAATCAGTCGGTAGGTTAGTTAAAAAAAATATTGAAAAATACTGTGCCAAAACATATATAGAAAACACAATATTTTTTCATAATTTATTTAATTGACTTCCCGGTTGAAATTTAAGCTAACATTTGGTGGACATAATCTACACTCCATGAAATACATGTTCACAAAATTTCATTAGAAACATTTACCTGAAAACATCTCAACTGGAGGCCTCTATCAGGTTTTTCTGAGGCGATGTTTTAATTTCTGACTATTTGAAATCTAATACTAGTGCTACTTAAAATTAAAAAAGTTGGGGGGGGGGGCAAGGCCCTCCTACCTATATGCAGAGTCAAAATTAGCCACAAAGAGTTTTTCAAAAAGTTTATTGAGATCTCATTCAGAAAGTTTTACAGAAAGTTTTGAGATCTCTTTTCGAAAGTTTTACAAAAGGTTATTGAGACCTTTTTAAGAAAGTTTTACACAGTTTAATGAGATATCTTTCAGAAAAATTTACACAAATATTTTGAGAAAGTATTTTGAGATCTCTTTTGAAATTATTTCAGAGGTATTCTAGCAAGAAATTTTGAGATTTCTTCAGCAAATTTGAGAAATTATTCAGAAAGAATTTTCCTTTGATATATCTTTCAGAATCTATTTGAGAAGTTTTTTGTGAGTATGGTTACAAAGTATTTCTTAAGTACATGCTTATAGCTTAAATTTATCTATTAATAAATTATCATAGACTTCTCAAATAGTTTGTGGATTCATAGTGAAGCTTATCGGTTTCTTTTTTCGCATGTACAGATATTAAGAGTAATGCCAAACCCTAGGGAGATGATAAGGTAGTGGAACGCGTGCCAAAATGAGTTAACGAGGATGACATTGGCAACTTCAAGCTATTAATTTATTTAAGTATTTCAATTTTTATTGTTAAGTGATTATTATTATTTAATTTGATTTGTATTATTTATTTTAATTGCTTGAAGTTTGAGTAAATTCCTGGATCCAGGTGGTTATCACATTTGTTGGTGATAACTAGATTTTATTAGGTTTTTATTTGGAGTTATTTTGGTTATTTATGATATTTTATAATCAGTGTTATTGTAATACCCGTACTTTTTATTTGTTTCTTATGTGCTAATTAATTTTATATGATCATGTATTAACCCGTGGTTTGTGTTTTATACATGTGAGGGTAGGGATACCATGTGATTATGAACTTTATGATGATTACAATTGAACTTATAGACTTGTGATATGTTTGACCATGAGAGGCGACGGTGCCCGATGAGCAACGAAACTACACAGTAATAATCATTTATTTCGGATGTAATGGTATATTTTAAGTTAGTTGTCATGTTAGATAGTATTTAGGAGTTTAAAATGTCACCGGGGATATAGGGTGTGATCGGCAACAATCGGGTTCGGTTTTGAGTGAAAAGGGGAGTTTTCGGCACCGGGAGAACCCCGAACCGGCGCCGGTCCAAATTAAAACAGAAACTTTGAGGCGTGCAAAAACAGCACAACCGGCGCCGCTCAGGGGCAGACTGTGTCGGTCCGATCGATTTTGCCAAGTCGGTGCAGATCGTATTTAAACAAGAAAAATTTCCTTTTCCCCCAAAATGAAGCTCTGCTCGGCTCCACCTCTCTGAAGTGATTCCAAACCATACTTAGACTATTTCAAGGTCAAATTAAATCTATTTGATGAATACAGTTAGCAACACAAGAGGGGGGGTGAATTGTGTGGGTGTGGAACCGTAACAGTTTTTCGCCCAGTTCTAGTGTGGGGTAAAGGGAATTGCGAAAAGTAAAGTGCACAAGGATTTAACGAGGAAAAATCCCTTGGCTCAAAGGGATTAAAAAACCTCGACCTCCCTTGGAGGAATTTTAAACAACTTCACTAAACAAGCCTTTGAAAGAGTTACAAGAGTGATTCTCCTAATCTACCCTTGAGCCTCCCCAACTCTATCCTCTCTAGGAAGAGTTATGCATCTCTACCTTGCGGGTAGAGAGCCTCTCAGCTTTATCACAAAGCTCTCACACACACTTAACCCGAGGCAGCTACTCTAGCCAATTAAGCCTCAATATTCCAAGTACAAAAAATGATAAAGAAAGAGAAACTCTATCTAGAACTCCGTGTAGGCAGTTTCAGGCACTATGGACTTGATCTTTTCTCTTGAGTGATTATTCTTTTAATCTCTTTCTTCTTGAACACCTTGAATGAACCACCATCTTGTGTATATATATAGCTCTCCTTTTGATAAACGTTGGCTCCTTTCCTTGCTATAATGAATTTTGAATTCCTTTCCTTATTTATCACTTGTCATTTTTGGAGCTAAAAACATTCGTTAGTCATAATCAAAAGACTTCAAGCATTTTTGAATTATCGAGCACGTTTATTATGGAGAGTAACTTATTCAGCAGCCTAAAGAATGGTACCAATTTACTTGCCTATTGTGAGATCAATCGGGTCATATTTAGACACCACTATTCAAAATATCTAATCAAATGATTAATTACTAATTAAAGGCTGATTATGGTAAGCAATTAGGCCTTGATCGGTCAACCCACATGCTTAGGCAATCAACCGAAAATATCCCATTTGATATGATTAGTAAGAAAACCCTTTTATATGTCCATATAACATGATCTGGTCAACTAATGTAAAGGTGGCAAGAATATTCGAGTATTTCATCAAAGGAAACTTTCCTTTAACTAAAGATCACCACTTCCGAAGATTTCTAAATAGTTTACGTTGAGAGAGTATCTCTCTAGCACTGTAGCTATTCGTAAACTTTTCTGAGCTTCCTTCACGTTTCGATTGCCTCTTCCGCCATTGTTCCTTGCTGTTTGAGCTCCACAATGAGTTAGTCTATACTCCTACCTCGTTAGGGTGTAATTTCTCATTTTATTGGGCTCTTTTCCGGTCTCGTTGGTGTTCTTTCCCCTTTTGGAAAGGCGGCGCTACTGTTCCCTTCGAGTAGGTCAACGCCCAGATCTTCCCCTCCCCTTGTTGGTTTACGATTTTGATCATGGATTGTGACTCCCCTGTCCTTGAGGATCAAGCTAAACTTGGTTTCACCATCATCAAGCTTATTTTGGTTTTTGGCCCTACTCCTCCTCCACTTGGCTTCACCTCTTGTTTGAGACCTCGGATTCTTTGTTGGTGGGGGTGGCTTAATCCTAGCTTCCCTTACCTTGTTCCTTCACTTTGTTCATTATGCCGAGAGGGGGTAAAGTCAAGAATAAGAGCAACTTGGCTCCTAGTAAGACATCTTCAAGGCTCAAAGCTATAGCCCAAGCTAGGGAGGGTGTAGATACTGCTTCGGACAAGATTGATAGGGAGGAATCCTCCTGCCATGAAGACAGAACCGACAACGGCCAGCCTAATGAGGTAAATCTTATCTCTCCTTCTCATAATTTGGCTGAATCATGTATAGGTGGTACTATCCAAAAGGGTGATGCTATTATGGCTGGGGTTGTTGTACCCATTAATGAGGCTCCTAGTGAGGTCTCGGCCTCTTTAAGTGTTGTGGTTGTTGAACCTTCTATGGGCTGTTCTATTCAAGGCTCTGCCTCTATAATTAATGATGTTGGGAAT